AAAAAAAAACTATTAGTGCACATTTCGGAAATGAAGAGAATGTTGAATGTAGGTGTTTACTAACATAATCAGCTGACAACTACACTAGCATTTTCGCGAATCGCGAATAAAGAAAATTAACTCACTTATCAAACAACCTTAAAAGAGATCAAAAGAGTGAGATATCATAGGCTATAAACGTTTTCCTCTATGGCTTCTTACCTGGAGGCTGTAGAATCACTGATTTGAAATCGTTTAACCAGATTGAGAAAAGGAAAATTCTGTCAAAGCTTTATAAAGACTAGAACTTGACTTTCAGACAGTGCGCACCTTTCTAACCGACGGACAAAGTTACCGGCTCGGTCCAAGATGTTGCAACCTAAAAAGAGTTCCGTTATACCGTTTCCAAAGCCTGAATACCTGTCTAAGCCATTCACTGTTTCGACCCGCATCAGCTATGTCTAGCACTAACCGAGCCACACCATACGATGGAAATCCAGTAGATAACGCGATACTTTCATGATCATTTTCATAAGTTTCGAGAGACGGATGAATAGTTTGTAGTTTCAAAGCCAAAACTTCCTGTCTTAATAACTCAATTTCTTCTTCGGGACTAAAGTCAGCAATATTGGAACCAGCAGAGTGAGCCCGAGTACGACTGCCCGAACTTCTATCGCTGCCCAACGACGTCTCGGACTGAGAACGTGAAGCACGAGCTTTTTTAATAATAGAGGCTCAGTCGAAAGCCGAAAAAATGCAACTTTCTGATGTCCTCTGCCAACATCACCGAACTTTTCTGGACAACTTGTCACAATACAAGACGCCATAATACTTAGAAATATCTTCAAAACAAGTTAGAAGTGAGAGAGACACTTTTCAAGAAGAAGAAGGAAGAAGTCTAATCTAAACACCGTCTGTCTAAGTGAAAAGAGAAAAAAAGATCATCGTGACCTATAGCAGTTGACTACATGAAGATGAATATCGTTCATACAGCAGCCAACATCAACGCTAGTGTTGAAATATCTTATTTCGATTGTTTTTGACCATAAGTGCTTCGAAAAAGTTCGGCAGAAAAGTTTTAACTTCAAAACTAGAGATATTAAAGTGAAATTAAAAGGAGGTTTTCTAAAGATCTCCTAGAAAACCTTGATCACGTGATATGGAAATCTCGCCAAACCCCTGTATTTGTTCAGTTTTTAATTCTCTATCTAATCACATTTGAATCGAATCGCCATCTCTTAGGTGAGCTGAGCCACATTTATATAAAAAAAGTTGAATTTTTTAAATTCTAAATTAAATTGAAAAATTGAAATTTTGAGTTGAAGCTTTAGTTTTTTTTTCAAAATGTTCGCCTTTCGACGCTGAATCTGAATATATTATTTAAAATGTTCCATGCCCTAACAGTGACTTTCAAAACACTTTTAATTCAGCTAATGTAGTCCAAAAACCACGGTTTTCTTGAAGTCCTACTTCCAAGGTTTTGAAGAAAACTTTTTAGAGACAAAAAGAAAGAGGATTTCGAGAAACCCTTATAAACCAGAGGAGAGTTTCAAAGCGTAGTGGAATTTGGGGATAGTTTTCTGGTGCAAAACGCCTATTATTATCGTAATTGTAGTTGTAGAAGAAAAATTTAACAGCTTCATCAGTACTATACTATTATGTAATGCACAGGGTTCCCAAATCTCCTGATTTTCAGTTGCGTCCCTGAATCCACTTTGTTTATTCCGAAACTGAGATTATCAGTTTCAGAAACAGAATTTCTGGATTAAGAGTCCAAATAATTATAGATTGAAAGAGCCCACTGTATGCTTATCAAATGTTCTCATTACAAGCAAATGAGATTAGTGAACTCCCAAAACCCATCGGATCAAAATCTTTTTCCGCAATCCGTCATACTGCAGTCTGTAACAAATGATAATACTACTTCATCTTGGATTTTTTTGTTTTGTTTGTCCAAGAAAACATCCTTTCTGTCTAGACTGCTTCTTCACAGGATATCAAAATTTGAAAAAATTGTCTTGCATAAGGAAAATCAATCGTTCCGGATAGTGCTAGATTTGATAAAAAGCAGGAAAAAATTAGCCAAAGAATGTAGAGTAAGTGCTCAACATGCTGGATTTAGAACAGAAATGACTTATGATTTTTGGATCGTTTATTATTAGTGACAAAACGTTACAAAAAGTTTTATTTTTCAATAAGGATTAATTAAAATGAAGACGAAGTCTGTACAAAAAGTATCTGTGATGAATTACTAATAGAAGCATTACTTCCTTTCATCGCAGTTCTGCTTCTTACCTGCCATTACTCTGCGTTATTTTGCTAAATAATGAAACAACGTGTAAATATCGCATAGAGAAGATACTTTTCTTAACGGGGTCCCGCCCTCTCAGGAAAAACTCTTTTATGTTACGTCCGATTTCAATGGCGCTTACAGTGACTAATGCTTACTGTCCTACGAGCTTATGCTGGAAATTCGAGACCGAAACATTGAAGTACTGCCGAGTTATTGCGTGGGATTCTCAGGAAAAACGTAAAGGCTTTTTTGCTGAAAGGTGCAGAAATCTGCGAGTGGTCTCAAATGAAAGCAAACAACTAAATTCAAACTTTGATCCGCAGCGGTTGATTGAATTTCGATTCTGTTCAGTCGGAAGTCAGAACCCTGAAAATAACCCTAATTCGGAGGAGTATTTGCCAGTTTTCTCTGCACAGAAAATGAAATTAAAAAATCGCTATCCAACTTTAGACAAATGTCTTAGCATCAAAAAAATGAAGATCTTATGATAAATTGTCTAGGAGGAGACACAGTAGATTTAAGATTCAATACAGGAGTGTGATATATAACCATGAAGCAAAAAGAAAGCTCTTTCTNCAGTCGGAAGTCAGAACCCTGAAAATAACCCTAATTCGGAGGAGTATTTGCCAGTTTTCTCTGCACAGAAAATGAAATTAAAAAATCGCTATCCAACTTTAGACAAATGTCTTAGCATCAAAAAAATGAAGATCTTATGATAAATTGTCTAGGAGGAGACACAGTAGATTTAAGATTCAATACAGGAGTGTGATATATAACCATGAAGCAAAAAGAAAGCTCTTTCTTTTATCCTCATAGAAGTTAATTGACCACTAGAAAACCTAACGAATATCTGACAGAAATACCAGATATCATGATTATGGCACGGCATAGGGCACTAACTAAACATCTTCACTACTGAAATGGCGCCATTTTATACACCGGAAAAATTGCTAAAAACTGGCTGAAAACCGAGGTGGCTGACGGAAAACCACTCAATACCCATAAAAAACTAGTTCTTTTGTGGAAAGCAACACATATTCTGAAAGAGGAGACTTCAGGCTATCTAGCTGAGCAAGAAATTCAATTCCAATCTTTCTACAAAAAGCATTAATTTCTGAGGGGAAGGAGGGGCTTAAGGATCCTCACTTCGTTGTCAAAAACATTATTTTCGTTAAAAAGATCAATTCTGAGATTTCTGCATGCTTAGATAGCTTATTGTGCTTACTTCCAGAATCTGTATCGCTTCCTGCTTTAGAGACAACTTTTCATGGTCCTAGAAGAAGTTTCTCGGAAATCTCAAAAAATAAAACATTCAAATTCTAGTTTACCACGATACTTGTGCAATTAAACTGTTTTTTAAACGCGCAGATTTACAGAGCAAGAAGGTCACCGTCGATTCTGTGGCATGAAAACTAATCAACCTTATTAAAAATTTTGTTTACAAAAGGACGAAATCGAAAGGATTAGATGAACTGTGCTTCTGAGCCCTGTCTCTTTGAAAAAGAGATTTGTAATAAAATGTTATCCATTAAAAATCGGTCATTTCTTGAATAAATCGGAGACCAAACGTGACAGAGAATTCCAGTTTTCATCATTCAAAAAGGGAGACTCTGTACCATCTGTTTATAAGCAAACAATTTGATACAAAATCTGTTTTTCTAGAAGTTTTTATAGAAGATCCTTGAAAAACAAAGGCCTAGCCAAAAAGTTGAATATAAAAATTTATTGTCTTTTTTTTTCATCGATAGAATATGCTCTTTTCAAAAGAAGAATTCTGTAACCTCCTCATTTTCCATCGATTTCTTGGGTCCTCTGTCTCCAACGAATTTTTGTAACCTTAAAAATAGACGAAATGAGAAGTTATCAATCATGCTGAGGTTATCGTAACAATAACCTGTATCAGATGATATCATGTACTTTTGGCTGTTTTCAAGGAAATTAAAAATAAATATAATTGACGAAGAATCATTAAACATTACTCCAAAAGATTAATATAAACTCTATTTTATTTGCTCAATCGAATTTTGTACTTAATATAAATGAAAAGAGTCTCTTACCTTCGAAAATTTAATTGACTTTTAAATTCAATTCATTAATTTGTCAATTCTTCTATAATTTATACAAATGCTTCACATCATCACTATCACTAACAAAGTTGGATTTATTAGATAAATAAAAACAAATATGACTTCTAATTTGAATTTGAATTTATTTCATTTCATCAGAAATATAAACATCATCTAAGAGCAACAAAGTTAATACGTAGATAGTATGGCAGACAATGAAAAAAGTACAAAAATGGCTAGCTATTTCATCTTTAGTGTAAAAAAAACACAGACACACTGAGAAAATAAAAAAAGAAAAGTAGATGGCATCATCTAGATTATTTCACATTTTTCGTATAAAAAAGAAAAGTAGTACAGAGCACCGTAAAAAAAAAACGTAAAACAAAAAAAAAATAGAGAAATAATTTGATACAAAAATAAGTCTCGTTTCGTCCGCTCTCAACATAAATAAGAGAGACAGTCGTATCAAAAAACAAAGATATTTACAAAAAAAAAGAAGAATTTGATAGCATCTAGATTTTTAATTTACAACAAAAGGACACATACTGTCGCAATAAAATAGAAAAATAAAATATTTATTTTTTTTGTTTTCGTGTAATTGGTTGATGATCGACTAATGGTCTTAAGCCATGTTTTTTAATCCAACATTGTTTACAATATGATCTTAGACAATGGTTATTACGACAAAAATAAATGGCCGAATTTGAACATGAAAAACATTCTTCATTTTCACGTAAATAAGGATATATTTCGTGCTGAAAAACCGACAGAAAAAATTTAAAAATGTTTAACGGAAGAAAAAGAGCATCTCATCATTTTTATTCTGAAAAATATTTTAAATTTTTTTCTTTTTTCTGCCAATGATAATATTATATTTTCTCGCTTGTTGACTTAATGAACAGTTCACTGTTATCCAACGTTTATTGACAGAATACAATCGAAAGTTTCGAAAATTTGAATTATTTTTGTGTTGTCAAAACAGAATGAACATGATCTCTTTAAAATTCACCAATTAGTGACATTTATCAGAACAGTAAGACTAAGTATGTGTGCGTATGTGTATCCACTAAAGTACTTACAATTTTTTGAAAATAATCACATTTAATATAAATTGAACCAGTCGAAACAGCTCGAATATAACTATGTGAATCACGAAATAAAACTGTAGCTGTGCCTTAATAGAAATGTAGCAAAAAGAAAGATTGTACGCACAAGTAATGATATGGCGAAAATTTTTCTTTTTTATTGAGAAAGAACGTTCAGAAAAACAAAACATAGTAAATTCAATTATTTATGAGCTTAGAGAATTTAGATCTTTAAAGTATATTCAAAAGTTACAAATTAAAAATTCTTTGATAAAGCTAGTTTTAAAATTTGAAATTTTATTTAAAATTGTTTTTAACAGAAATTATCTTCACTGACCTGTTGGATATAAAAATTTATCTGTATTTATTTGCACAAAAGACACAGCTCCAAATACATCTGTCATAATTAATGCTAAACTATACGCTGTCATTTTTCCATGAAGAGCCGATAAAAATATCGTACGTGACCAATCTTTGGTTAAAACGGAATCATCATCATTAGGATAACGAATAACACACAGATTATCGGTAATACACCATGGAACAACTTGAATCTAAACAAAAGCAATTTCTTGAATAGACATTAAAATATTTAGAATAAAAAATACTAAATAAAAGATGTTTGTTGATTTAGACGTTTTTGCGAATAAAACGAAAAACTGTTTTACTTCGGTAAAAAAAACTTTAAGAAATAGCATTTTTTATATCAGCAGTTCAATTGACAATTCGAATTCTGAATAAACGAAGACTTGGCAAAAACAGCACTTTTTCTACATATTTATCTTATTTTAAGTGTTGTTTCAACAATTTTACTCACCATTTTGACATGATTTGGCTTTATTTTATTTCCCACAACTAATGATGAGCGTCTAATTTGAACATGCCAAAAATATTCTTGATTTTGATGTGTACAACGTCTTAGTAATTCTACAGTTGAGCGAGCGTCTTGATAAATGACATGACAAAAGCCTATGAATAAAAACACGTATAGTTGATGTTTAAAGGAAATACTGAGAGCAGTTTGCTTGAGGATCTCGTACCTGGTCGAACGGAACCAGCTCCTTCAGTTTTTGGCCACCGAACTGTACATCGTCCAAAGTTATGTAATTCATACAATAAATCCGCTAAAAGAAGAAAAAGCAGGTAAAACAATTTCCATGTACATACAGTGACCTTTATTTTCTCTTGTGAAAATCTGTTCTGTAACTCGACCTTCACTTAATTCGTACGGTATTCCTCCAAGGAATAACTTTTGTGAAAATGGACCTTGCATCCCATTCGCTGAGGATGTTGACGGAGGATTCTGAGGCAAAGTTCCCGACCATGTTGGAGTTTGATCAGCATTGAGAAGTAAAACTAGAAATATTTAGCAAATTGGAATAAAATACCAGCAACGCAGTTATTAGCGGCATACGCACCATTTTCGTCTGTTGTCAGTGACGATATAATTGGTTTGTTGTCGATTATCGTTAACGGACGAGAAAGAGATATAGAAGGTAGCGAATATTTTTCTATACGGCTAAGATTTGATGACGATTGAGTCTAAAAACAGAAATCAAACAACAGATTAATGTTCGGATTTCAAGAATAGGCGATTATCTGCAGTGATGCTTTCAAGGGATCGATGTCTAATTTTCAGTACCTTTCAAAACATCAATCTTTGGGTCAATAGATGATAAAATTATCTTTCAAGTAGCTATGCACCAGTTTCAGTTAACTGGAACTGTTGAGAACTTGTGCTGTTGACTTTTCAAAACCAATTTTCTATCTAATTAAATCGAAAGGCACATCATTGGATGCAGTTTTTCACACTGACCACGAAAATCAATTTTAAAATTTATA